GGGTTGGACTTGATAATCTGCTCAGGTCCCTTCCAACCCTAGAAGCTACGAAACTATGAAATGATCTGAACGTGTTGTGCCTCAAACAAGAACACGTCTCAGTGAATGGTAGCCACTAACACCATGCAGGGTTATTGCAAAACCCCCCAAAAACATGCTACCAGCCCTGCTTTCCCAGTGTCCTGAGTGAGCCTGGAAATCTCCCATGCAGATCAGGCACTGACTAGCCTTTCAGCCTGCTTCACTTCTGAGATTTAAAAAGCAAACAGCCCAAGGCACTATGGCTGCACATTTAAATCTATAAATTGAGAGGTACAAAGGCATTTACACAGAAAATCTGCACAAAAGTGCAGGAGTTCTAGTATAATCTCAAAAGCACATGTAATGGAAAGACAACATGTAATATTTTTTGTTCAAAAGGTGATGTTCAATACTAATCTTAAAAGACCCAATTTGGATTAGTAGTAAAATCCTATGAAGATCACAACTGGTGGCATCCCCAGTAAGCAGCAGGTGCATTAAAAGTTACAGTGAGAACAACTAGCATTGAAGGATTCATAATCTTTGCTGACATTTCTTAAGAGCAACACAGAAGAATGATTGATACTTAACTTGGCTGCAGAAAATTTTTTCCCTTCTCTAACTCTCATTTATAAATGTTGCATTTTAACAAACATAAAGCTATTATTCCATAAAGTACAAACATCCCTTTCCCGCTGACAGCTTTTGGTGCCCAGGAATCAAATAGTTTGAAACACTTCTTCAGCAACTACCATAATTACCTGAATCCAAAATGACTCTGAATTTAAGATGACCCCCCAATATTATTCTATACATGGAAAATGTATAAACTTGTTATAATTTATAGAATCAAATTATTGCAGGGTCATCTTAAATTTGCTCCCTGCCCTGCTGCAGTGGGGAAAGCAGCGACAGTGAGAAGATGGTAGGGAACTCAGCCTATGCATCCCCTCACACCTCTGGGCATGGAGCACATGGTTACATCCAGCCCAGGGCATGGAGCACATGGTTACTCCTGTCTCAGCATGGCCAGAGAGCAGCTGGTGCAGTGGCAGCAACTCCAGCTGGGCCCCAAGACAGAGATGGAGTTGCTGCCACCTCTTCTGCTGCTGTGGCCAAGCTAGAATTGAAGCAACCATATGCTCCATGCCGTGGACTAGAGCAGAGCTAGAGCCACCTGGAGCCAGAGGGCAAGTAGAAACTGTGGGTGTGGGGAAGTAGAGGTGGCAGGGGGAAGCAGTGGTTGCAACTGACCTCAGCCTACTTCCCTACCCGTCAGGACCTTGTACTCAAATCCAATACAAGGGGCTTCCCCACACAATAAAAGGGGGGGAAACCCTATCTTGGATTTGAGTACCATATTTTCAAGCATATATCCCGCGGGCTATACACGTTTTTACAAACTTGATGGGTGGGTGCAGGCTATACAAGGGTGCAGGCTACGCAGAGTCTTTAGAACAGCACAGCCCGTCCCCGGCTGTGGGCTCCAGCTCTGGCTCTGGCGGCCGTGCCCAGCAGAGTGCAGCTGGTGGCAGGGAGCGGGGCTCTGCAGGGGAGGAAAGGGGAGGGGATGGATGAGGAGCTGCGAGCCCCACTGCCTGCACTCTGCTGGGCACGGCCACCGGAGCCCGCAGCCGGGGATGGGCTTTCAGGCTCTGCAGGGGAGGGGAGGGATGAGAAGCTGCGAGCTGAGGGCTCCGGCTCCAGCGGCTGTGCCTAGCACAGTGCAGCTGGCATTGGCGGTGGGGAGCGGGGCTCACAGCTCCTCATCCCTCCCCTCTCCTGCTGAGCCTGCAAGCCCAGCAGAGCCCGAGCTTGTAGCCATGTCTCAGGGTGTGGGGAATACATGGGTGCAGGAAATACACAGAGTATATTACAAAAACACAATTTTCCGCAGGTTATACATGGGTGCGGGCTATATGTGCGAAAAATATGGTAAATACATTTTTTTACACTGCATTTCTGTGCATGAGGTTAAGTCTGCTGCAGAATAAAAGTTGTTCTTTCAACTCCTTCCTTTCAGTCAGTCTCCTCTTCTCAACAGTGAAAACTAAGAAGCCAGGCAGGGACAACATATATGATATGGCTAGGTCACAGAGCTCCCAAGAAGAGCAAGATTATCAAAGACTTAAAGGACAGAAGCTTAGGGGAAGGAAGACCTGCACAAAATTTTAAAAACTCAAGTGGAGTGAAAAACACCAAAAATGAGATATTCTTTATAATATAGTTATCTAAGAAAATGGGATTACCAAGAGCCTAGGGGTGGACAAATTCTGACCCACAGGCCACATCTGGCCTTCACAGGACTTCATTTCCCAGCAGCCCCTACCCGCAGGGCTGAGGCTGGTCTTTATGGATACCCCAGCCACAGCTCTGCTGTGATAGTGCAAGGCTGGGCATGCCATGGAGACAGGTGCCAGCCATGCTGGCAAGGAGCACAGCAGGCCAGGGCAGAGAGCTGCTCTAGAGCAGCTGGGATCTTGTGATGGGGTCAGCTTGTTTTGGGTCCAGGGCAGAGCTGTGATCTACTGCCTGCATGTTCCGGGCAGGGGCACACAGGCAATGGATTGCGGCTCTGCCCCAGCTTGGGACCACATTGTCACCGCAGCAAGAAGCCAGGGCAGAGCCACAATCTGCAGTCTGCATGCTCCAGCAGGGCTGCACAGTGTGCTCTGGCCCTAGACCAAGCTGCCCCCACCACAAGTTTCCAGCAGCTCTGGAGCAGCCCCCTGCCCTGCCCTACCAGTGTGGCTGGGGCTGGTCTCCATGGCAACCCCAGCCTTACACTATCACAGTGCAGCTGTGGCTGGGGTCTCCATGGACACTAGGCTTAGCCACACTGGCAGGGGCAGCTGGGAAACAAGTCACTCTGACAGTCATTTTGTCCACCCCTTGGTCTAGGACCACTATTCTATTTCTTGACTTTCCATAATTTTTTGTCCCCTCCCCCACAAGAAGGTGGCATGATTAAATGTTTTTGCGTATGCAACCTATACTTTCCTCCTCACACTCATCTCAAGGGAACATTCACTTGCAACCAAAAATGTACACATCCAGTAGCATCCCTCATAGTATTGCTCCAAAATGTATTAAGAGAAAGCTTGTACAAATTCTCTGTGAAGCCCCCCAATGGGAAGCTTGCTCTTTGTGTTCTAACAATTAAGACAACCAAATGAGCAAAATAATCTATGTGTGTGCTACAAAGGTTAAGAAAATCAGTGCAAAACCCTCAGATGGGAAGGGCTTGCCCCACACAGCACATAATAAAAGTGATGCTGAGACCTCACTCTGGGATTATTAGCCATTCTCTTGAGAGACCTTTCAAACCATCTTCCCTGTGACACCACAACTATGGAATTCCCTGCAGCACATTTTCTAAAACTAAATAAGCCTAGACAAATGAATCCCAAATTTTGGGGGTTTTTTACTGACAGAAAGCAGTGCAGGCACTGAATCTTATGGTGTCACTGCAAGATGATCAAGGAGAGTTGAAAGCACTTAGCAGTAACATAGATCTCAAGCTTTTTAGACTCAAGACATCTCTCATTATGAGACTCAAAGCACCCTTCAGAAAATACCACTCTTCACTTTCACTCATATCTTGACAATGGAAAGAATAACAGAGCAATTCTTCTGTTGCAAAGAACTCAGGAAGCCCACAACAGATCAGAATGTTTTTGGCACTCTAGATTCCTATTTGAAATCTCTGAGTTTACCTTGTGAATCATGTGTAGGTTTTTGGACTTAACTGTGCTAATATTACATGGTGCCCTGCAGCACCCCAGCATGCCATGACACCCTGGTTGAGAATCATTGAGACACCAGTGGCCTTTCTGAAGGGATGTGTGTATTGACAGTTGGCAAAGTACACACTTCAGTACCTGGGCATCAGGGGATGGAACCCCTCTATCTACTCCTCCAAGTCAGCCAGATTCTGGTACAGACTTTGTAATCTTTATAACCTGGCTGCCTGATCTCCCTCCTGCCTCCATCCATTGCTTCCAACCCTTCTTAGACTGAGTACGAGCCAGCAGTGTGCCCCGTTGCAAAGAAAGCTAACAGCATACTGGACTGCATTGGTGGGTGTGTTGCCAGTAGGTCCAGGGAAGTGATTATTTCCTTCTACTCAGCACTGGTGAGGCCCCATTTGGAGTACTGTGTTCAGTTTTGGGCACCCCACTACAGAAAAGAATGTGGACAAATTGGAGAGAGTCCAACAGAGGGCAACAAAAATGGTGAGGGGACATGACATATGAGGACAGGCTGAGGGAACTGTATTTATTTAGTCCACAGAAGAGAAGATAGAATGGATCTGATAGCAGTCTTCAGCTACCTGAAGAGGGGTTCAAAAGAGGATGGAGCTAGACTATTTAAGTGGTGGCAGATTACAGAACAAGGAGCACCAGTCTCAACTTGCAGCTAGGGAAGTTTAGGTTAGATATCAGAAATAATTTTCTCACTAGGAGGGTAGTAAATCACTGGAACAGGTTATCCAGAGAGGTGATGGAATCTCCGTCCTCGGAGGTTTTTAAGACTCAGCTAAACAAAGCCTTGGCTAGGAAGATCTAGTTGGGAATGGCCCTGCTTTGAGCAGGGGGTTGGACTAGATGACCTCCTGAGGTCTCTTCCAACCCTAACTTTCTATGATTCTACCTTTTCTACATACTCTGTGTACAGTGAGCCAGAAAACCCAGTGACAGTAGTGGAAGCATGACTCAGAGAAGTTCAAAGCACTCAGATCTGGCATGTGGTCCAAACACAGCACTCTGGTGTCTGGGAGAGAGAGCTTGACTAGGGCAGTAAGGAAGCTGACCTAAATATCTTCTCTGCCATGCTTGCCAATCAGTCCAAATGCAGAAGACAACAGGATCCTTTGGTATACCGAAACAAGAGTGCTGGGAATTTGACTGACAAAGTTAGAGCTGCTAAAATATCTATGCAAGAAGGATTTTGCAGTGTGTCCAGAAAAAAAAAAAAAAAACCCCCAAATAACGCCCCCATCCCCAAGTGCTTTACTGGAAGCAGCAGCGTGTTATTTTGACTCAGCTTCAAGCATCTCTATAGATTAGGTACTTCAGTGGGCTTTTTGGCGCTTTCATCTAATAGCTGACTAAATCAGCTATTAGATAAAAGCACCAAAGAAGCCCCACTAAAGCGCTCAATCCATACAGACATCAGGCAAGCCAGATCCAACATGCTGCCTCTTCTGGACATGCACTGGGTTCAGCCGAGTTTAAAGTGCCATTATTGGGGAGGAGGGGCAGGCGGGGGTGTTGGAGTTTAACATCTGCAAGCAGCTTCAGAGTAGCAGCCAAATAAGGCACAAACATCAGTCAGTCATCTGCCTAAGCAGACCTGCTTCCACTATGTTCGAAGTCAATGGTTCAACCAAGCCTGCCAGTCCATAACAAGCTAGCCAGACACACCAGTTTGTGCACCCAACAGCACACAAGGACAAGGAAATGATGTTAACTAGCATCACATCCAGCCACCTTTGGCTCCCCAGGCCAAATGACCAAGTACACATGTACTGTTGGGGCAGTTAGGTACATATCCAATGTGAGGCTCAAACTCACAACTCTGGAGCTGTAGCAAGACACATTAACAGAGTGCCACTACATGCTGGCACTTCTATCAGCCTGCAGTGAAGGAAATGGGTCCCTTCCTGTCTCTCCAAAGTAACAACCGGAACCCTATTAACAGTTCCTAATGGTGTCACAGAGATATTATCGGCCCACCACCAATAGCAAGGCCAGCATTGGTGCAAAGTTACAGCTCCAACTGTCCATGAAATATACACTAGGCACAGATATTTTATTTGGGAGGGGGGTAATATCTTTTACTGGATCAACTCCATGGCCGGGAGAGATTTTAGACAAGCTTTCGAGCACAAAGTGCTCTTCCTCAGGTGACCTGAAAACAATCCACAAGCACCTGTCAGATCTCATATCTAGGATCCTGATGCTGCTACCCCTCAATATTTATGAATTAAGATACTCACGCATGCCTGATTTTTTTTCAGGTTATGAATTACATTACAACTCCCTGCCCCGTTTTGAGAAAATTTAGCCCCACATCCAAGTGCTAGAGCCCATGTACAAATAAATCATTTCCCTTCATTCATCTGAGGCACATGCAAAGGAACAGCCTCATTAAAAACTACATACCAAAAGTGGAGTCTCTGTCAGCTATCCATCTCAGAGCCCAATCTGCTTTCTTCTTGACACATGGCATTGTTTCAATCGCATTAAATAAAAACTCTCTATAAAATCAAAAAAAAGGAAGTATCAGAAGATTCTTTTGCAGTGGTCTGTATTAAGGTAGGAAGATTGGGATGCTACTGCGTTCGGCACAGTGGGCATTTATATGCATGTTCTGGGAGTGGGGGGATGGAGGGGGCACTTTAATTAGACTGGCTCCGAGAGCTGCTTTAATTAAAGCACCTGGAACGCTTCATGTATCAGCATCCCTGCACTTCAAAATGGTGGGAGAGGCACTTTATCTAAACCTCACTGAACAAGCTTTAGATAAAGCACCCCCGCTACCATTTTGAAGCATGTGGATGCTGATACCTGAGACAAGGGAGGCTGCTGGAGTGCAGTAATGGCTCAATTAATTGAGTCTGCTCTGACACACTGGAATTGCAGCGCATCAGAGCAGCCTCCCTGCTCATGTATAGGCACCCAGTGTGCACACAGAATCAGAGAAAGTCCCTACCCCAAAGACTATATCTATCTAAACACACAAAGGAACATGGGGAAGCAGATGCACAGAAAGGGGAAGTAACCTACACAAGGCCATGCAGTAGGTCAGTGGCAGAGACAGAACTACAACCCAAGTCTCCTGATCACCAATCCATGCCCTGTCCACCAGACTATGTTACCTGTTATTCTATGAGCAAAATGGTAACCAGGGAGTCCAACCCTCCTGCTGCCTATTTTTGCAGGCTCCAAATAGGCACGGGACACAGTTTCCCCAAAACACATACCCTGATCCTGCCTAGCTCCAGTAACTGTTCTAAATACCTCATAAGAGTGCAGGGTCACTTTGGAAGCCACTTTGTAGCTACTTCTCCCTTCCCCAGATGCCAGGGAGTTCCAGGAGACATAGGCTTCCCCAAGGCAATGAGAGAAATCATCCAGCAAGTGCAATAATGCATAACCAACCCCCACTGAATCAGCCCCCAACCACAGACCAACATTAAAAACCCCCAACTTTGATGATGATTTAAACTAAGCTGATACTATCATCCCGATTCAGGAATAAATGGCTACGGACATTCCCTGCAGCACAGCAGGATACATCTGCACCCAAAGCAGCTGTCAGTGCACAAGGCAGTGTCAGTTCCTGCTGTGCTGATTGCAACAGCAGCTGCTTTTGCACTTCTCCAGGGTGACTGCTGTCCCAGCTGCTCCCCCCTAACCCCCTTCAGCTTCACTACCGGTCATTTTAAAAGGACATTTTGAAGAACAACGGAAACAAACTAGTTGTATGCAAGTGAAATGACAGAACTTCTTAGTAAAGCCAGTTAGCAAATAACTCTACACTGCAACATCTGACTAATAACTGAACTGATCTACCTTAGCTCAACCCTGAACCGACACAAGAACTCAGTAGCAGCAACAGGCCTAACTAATTTTTAACCGGTCATTTAGATTACACGCCACACATGCAGAACTCGGGACAAACATTAGCTAACCTTCATGAGATTCCCATGAGGTCAGCAGGCAAGTATCATTATTCCCAATTCCACAGAAGAGGAACATAGGCTCAGAAAGTTTAAGTGCATGGCCATGGGGAAAGTCATGTCAGCACAAAAGAGAGGCTAGCTGATACTGCTGCACAGTACATGACTAGCGCGGGGGCAACACAGCTTGTACTGAAGTACTAGGTTCAGTGGCTCAGTGACAACATTAATAGAATTACCGTTTCTCAGGATCTTTGATGTAAGTGTCTATTAGCAGACTGTACATCTCTGAGTGAACATTTTCAATGAGAATCTGAAAACCATAGAAACAGCGAGCTTCTGGGATCTGCACTTCCTGGCTAAAACGTTCCACCTACCAAAAAAAATGCCTGTTAGGGTCTCAGTACTAGATGAGAGAATATTTTAAGCCTAGGAGGAAAACAATAAAGCCCTTGCCTTAAAGAAAAAATGGGAACAGTGCAGTTAATTATTGCACGTGTATGCAAATAGATAGGAAGGTTGTGGTGATGCTCTTTGGGAAGCAGTGGAAAAGAAAATTAAATAAATCTGCCTCTGTAGTCCTTATATAAAATGCGATCACCTGGTATGGTTATGCACCAAGGAACAGCAACAACTTTTAATTACATGACAGTTCACAGGCCTGGGCTACGCTAGAGTGCTGTCACAGAGTGTATCCATATCCACAGGACCCCAACTTTCTGCTGGCAGTTACACTACCTCTCTGACCAAAAAAGGCTTCTGATACCACCAAGCAGCTAGTAGAAGACATGTAGACATGCCTGGACCATCTGCAGCCTACCACAGTCCCTTCAGCTGCTGTGCCTTCCCAGAGGTAAACTTTGTACCCTGCCATCCCAGCTGATGAAGCACAGCTATGGAGAGATGACAGAAGCTACATGGGTGTCAAATACTCCAGCAACTTCCCTGCCAGCAGAAGCTCCATTGCAGACAAGGCCATGAAGTATCTGTCACACAGAATTAAAGCATGTCACTCACTCACACAGTCACCATATTAAAATCTATTCCCTGTCCATACTCCCAAGTTATACATACACAAGGTTCAAAATGGATTATTTTCAGTCCTACATATACAATGATTTAAGGCATGCTCTCCTGAAGCTCAGCAGGGCTAGAATTGGCAGTTGTAGCATTAGAAAAACAGTTGCAGCATTTTAATGGTAAATACCACTTGCTTATAAACCTGGAAGATTCCAAGGTGCCCTCACCTTAACACAATATGTAGCAGGTGCCCCACTGGTCTTTTAAAAAGGCTGTGCTAGGGAAAGATAATGCAATTTTACCGATTAAATGAGAAACACAGATGACCATGGTTCAGAACAGAGGATCTAAATGTGAGAATTCTTACCATCATATCAAGACATTGGCCTAAGTAGGACAAGTTGCTCAGATACCCAAGCAAAGATGAGATGATGGGTCACAGATACAATGCAACTATTAATTCAGAGTCATTTGATTATACTAAGGCAAAAGAGAAATGAAAACTATGGCAAGTCAATGTGATGAAGGGCAAAACATTATAAATGGACCCACTGTAAAGATATCTTACCAGGTTTTCATTTACAATTCCATCGCTGGCTGCAAAAAATGCCAGGACATGTGATATAAAATATTTTTCTTCTGATTTCAACTTGTTCCAGTGAGGAAGGTCCTTTGATAAATCAACCTTATGGGATAAAAAGAAAGAATTAGAACACGATTGCCTTTTAGTGATGATAATAACCTAAAATTGGGGGTGGGGGAACTACCACCACTGCTGGCCTGCTAAGCAACCTTTGCAAAGCCAGCAGGCCAAGGCACTTAAGGGAGCTCACCCCTGCCCCAGCCCTGGAACAAAATGTAGGCAGGGCAAGGGCCCCCAAGGGGACACTTACGTGCCTATACACAAATGCCAGGAGCTTGGGGAACAAACGGGAGGAACTTGTCCTCCTGCTAAACACAAATAACTATGATGTCATTGGGATAACAGAGACCTGGTGGGACTCCACCCATGACTGTACCATGGGTACAGATGGCTATAACCTGTACAGGAGGGATCGAGTGGACAAAAGGGGTGGGGGCATAGCTCTCCACATCAAGGAAAGCTACGCATCCCTGCAAGCGGACACAGGCACCCACGGTGTACTTGAGACCCTCTGGGTTAAAATCCATGGGGAACACAGCACAGGGGATACTATGGTGGGGGTCTACTACAGACCCCCTACCCAGGGTCAAGACCTTGACCAGGAGTTTGCCAGGGAACTGGCTGAGGCCACATGCTCCCGGTGTATGGTTGTCATTGGAGACTTTAACTACCCAGACATCTCGTGGGAGGAGCACTCAGCCACATCCGAGCAGTCGCAAAGCTTTCTCTCGTGCATGGATGACCTCTATCTGATGCAGGAAGTCTATGGGCCGACAAAAAGTAAACCGCTGCTCGACCTGGTACTGGCAACTGAGGATGACCTAATCAGTGACCCAACGATTGAAGGGAAGCTGGATGACAGCGATCATGAGCTGATCACCTTCACAATCCGCCATAAAGCTGGCTAGTCAGTCAGTAATACAGAAGTCCTTGACTTCAGGAAAGCTGACTTTGACAAGCTCAGGAGGCTTGTCAGTGAGGCCCTGAAGGGCCCCAACCCAAAGGGGAGGGGAGTTTAGGACGAGTGGTTGCTCCTCAAGGGAGCAATCCTGGATGCGCAAGCAAAGTCTATCCCATCCCAGAGGAAAGGCAGCAAAAGTGCACAGCAGCTCCCTTGGCTCTCCAGAGAACTAGTGGACCTCCTGCATCTTAAAAGGAAGACCGACAAAGGATGGAGGACTGGAACCACCACCAAGGAGGAATACTCTGCTCTGGTCCGGACCTGCAGAGAGCAAACCAGGAAAGCCAAGGCTGTGATGGAACTCCAGCTAGCTACAAATATCACGGACAATAAAAAGTCCTTTTTTAGATATGTGGGAAGCCAGAGAAAAAGCAAGGGCAACACTGGACCCCGGCTAAACCAGATGGGGCAACTGACAACTGATGCCCAGGAAAAAACAAACTTGCTAAATGGGTACTTTGCATCAGTTTTTCACCAGTTCCATGGGATGCTCCCTGAGGGACAGGGAGGCCCGGGTGAGGGAGATTCCTTACCACCCACCAAAGCTGACCTCATGAAGGAATACCTCGACAGGCTGGATACCTTCAAGTCAGCCGGCCCTGATGGGTTACACCGAAGGGTGCTCAGGGAGCTGGCGAGCATCACAGCTCAGGCCCTGGCACAGATCTTTGAGACTTCTTGGCACTCTGGTGAAGTGCCCAATGATTGGAAGAGGGCCAACGTGGTGCCTATCTTCAAAAAAAGTAGGAAAGTATATCCAACAAACTACAGACCCGTCAGCCTGACCTCTATTCTGGGGAAGGTCTTGGAAAAGATTATCAAAGAGGCCATCCTATACAAGCTTGCTGACGGGAATATCCTGAAGGATACCCAGCATGGGTTTGTTGCGGGTAGGTCTTGTTTGACCAATCTCATTTCCTTTTATGAACAGGTGACCTACCACCTAGACAAAGGGGAAGAGATCGATGTCATATATCTTGACTTAAAAAAGTCTCTGATCTTGTATCCCATGATCACCTCTTGGCAAAACTAGCTAATTGTGGCCTTGACCTCACCACGATCCACTGGCTCGGGGATTGGCTCCACGGCAAGACCCAGAGGGTGGTGGGTCGACAGAAGTCAATCGTCATGGTGCCCAGTGACCAGTGGGGTCCCTCAAGGCTCTGTCCTAGGGCCTTTACTTTTTAACATCTTCATCAGTGATGTGGACATTGATGTCAGCAGCGGGCTGGTCAAGTTCACCAACAACACCAAACTCTGGGGTAAAGCATCCATACCCGAGGACAGGAGGGTGATCCAGGCAGATCTTGACAGGCTCATGAAGTCGGTGGATGAGAACCTGATGGTGTGTAACACCGAAAAATCCAAGGTTCTCCACCTGGGGAGGAAAAACCTGCAGGATCCTTATAGGCTCGACAGTGCTACGCTGGTTAGCACTACAGATCCATACATGCTTCTCAAGCAAATCCCGGGATGTCATTCTCCCCTTGTACTCAGCCTTGGTGAGGCCACAGCTGGAGTACTGCATCCAGTTTTGGGCTCCACAATTCAAAAAGGATTTGGAGAAGCTTGAGAGAGTGCAGAGGAGAGCCACACGTATGATCAGAGGTCAGGATAACAGACCTTATGATGAGACGCTGAGAGCCATGGGACTCTTCATCCTGGAAAAGCACAGGCTCAGGGGTGATCTAGTGGCCACCTTTCACCAGGATCTCGGGGAATGTCTGTTCACCAGAGCGCCCCAAGGGATGACAAGATCAAATGGTCACAAACTCCTCTACGACTGTTTCAGGCTGGACATAAGGAAGAACTTCTTTACTGTCCAAGCCCCCAAGGTCTGGAATAGACTGCTGCCAGAGGCGGTTCAAGCACCCACTTTGAACGCCTTCAAGACACATTTGGATGCTTATCTTGCTGGAATCCTATGACTCCAGCTGAGTTCCTGTCCCTGGGGCAGGGGGCTGGACTCGATGATCCTCCAGGGTCCTTCCAGCCTGAATGTCTATGAAATCTATGAAAATAAAAAAGGAAAAAATGGTGCAAGTATAATTGTAGACCAACCCTCCAAACATTCAGAGATTTTGTTTACGTTTCATAGACTTTCATAGACATTTGGGCTGGAAGGGACCCCAGAGGATCGTCGAGTCCAGCCCCCTGCCCCAGGGGCAGGAAGTCAGCAGGGATCATAGGATCCCAGCAAGACAAGCATCCATATGCGTCTTGAAGGCATTCAAAGTGGGTGCTTGAACCGGCTCCGGCGGCAGTCTATTCCAAAACTTGGGGGCTCGGACAGTGAAGAAGTTCCTTCTTATGTCCAGCCTGAATCAGTCGCGACGGTTTGCAATCAATTTAAATCAAGTACATAGTAACTGTGCAGTCCAATGGCCTCTGCCACTGTAACATAAGGTGATTTTCATTTTTAACTAGAAGAAGTGTTTTCTTCATGCACAAAAGTCTATCTTCTGCAATCTTGAAAAAATATAGGACAATAGGAAAGTAAGTCTCGAAACAACTTCATGAGGCTAGTCCAGCTCCCTACTCAAGGAAAGATTGTCCCTGACTAAACCATCCCAGCCAAGTGTCTGTCTAACTTGCTCTTGATAATTTCCAAGAATAGAGATTCTACAGCTTCTTTCAGTAGCCTGTCCCAATGCTTCACCACCGTCACAGTCAGAAGGTTCTTCCTGATCACCAACCTAAATTGGCACTGCTGCAGGTTTGAGGATACTGTTCATTTAGGCCCCTGGCAGACATTCAATTAAAGATGTGAGGGGATCTGATCTGTGATCCCAACAATCATGCTTCCTGCCACGCTACAGGAGGCGTGATTGGGGATAAAATGCAAATCACACCATATTGCTGGTGGAGAGGGAGTCTGGGATTATAATCTCAAAATCCTCCTGTGCCAGCAAGTAGCAAGCCAGTCAGATGATCACAAGCAGAGTAAACCAGCAGAGTAAACCAGGTGAGCGCTCAAAGGCATCCATCAGGCTGGGAGCCCCAAACAGCTAATCAGTCTGGCTACACATACAATTTAAGGCACAATGGAAACCAGTCACAAAGTTATGAAATGCATTTTATATAATAACTTTGTGGCTCATTCCTGTTTTATTGCATCAGTAACTGAATGAACATGTGGTCAGGTTACTACATAAGATGTGATCTACTGTTAATCATGGCTTGAGTTTAACATCTGGCAGAGCCTTAGAGTCACAGCATGAACACTAGGGCTAATATGTCTACAAAGATATTACTGGTGGAAAACTAGCACTTAATTTGCTTTTACTTAGTAACTTCCATCTGTTTATGAAGCACCTCGGGATGAAAATGCTATAGAAAAGGAATTGGCAATATTTTCCAGCAGCAGGCGGCTGGAATGACCTAGGTTGGGTCCAAGAAAGGTAGGTACTAGGACCTGTCTGGCACATCTTCCTGCAGCATCAGAGTCCCTGCTCTGTGGGTCAGATCCATCCCGCAGGCCAGAGGTTGCCGACTCCTACTATACAAATAAAATACTATCTCTGCAGTTCCCACACTTTGTCCAGCTTTATTTCCATTCACCCTAAAAATTATTTCATGTAACCACATGCACACAATTGCTGGTGTCTGCATACCATAACTGACCTGGGGATTTTCCGGGTTGATTCCTTGTCTGCTTACTGTTATACCACAGTGAAAGCTAAACTGAGACTGCCTACCCATAGGTGAAGCAGGGTTAAATTGCCCATGCTCATCTTCCCTTATGGAACAGAAGCAGACATAGGAATACAGAAACTGTTTACATGCCTCCAAATGACAGGGGACAGTGACTTAATGCTCCTCGGCTGCTTAGTGGTTAAGTTCCTGCAATTACCCTGGCAAATAAAAACATTAAACTGGGGTAATTTCTCCCTGTTTGGCTCTCACTGCAGGGCAGCTGCAGATATGGCAACAGTCACAGCAGAACAGCTGGGGCGCAATACAGCTTTGCCTTCCTGTTACTTTGGGCAACACAGGGAAATTGCAGGCTTAGGGATGTTAGAGACTGTGAGATTTGTGATCCCACTGGCAATTGCTGTAATGCTTTAGTCTGAAATTGCTAATACACATTTAGCTGAAAATAAATGCCTGCGCGCGCGCGCGCGCACACACACACACACACACACACACACACACACACACACACACACACACACAC